CGTCCGTGTCTTGTTCTATCCTGCATGGTGAGTGTACATACTACATACATACATAAATGCATGCCACTATATGTCCTAGATATGCTTGTTAATTAAGCCAGTTGAGGGTAAAAGCTGATTATTAGGCCAGCTGCTGCTGTCTAGCTGATCTTGAAACATGCATAAATAAGGCTACTAGTCCAGTAGTCTTATTCAATTGGAAGGGAGAATTGGACGAGGCAATCCTGGTTGGAGTATCCAAATTAGTCCAGTAGTTGGGTTTGGCGTGCAATTGAAAGGCATATTTAGTTTCATGCTGAGATGCTTCTTCATCAGCCAGGTGCTAGTTATTCATTGTTAGTCTTCTATTAGCAATTTAGCATACGAGGAATTGAATGGTGTCATACCAACTCGTTCCACAAAAGGATGAGTGGATGACACCCATTCCCCATCACATATACACCCCATGAGTGAGTTCTTCGAGCTTTGAGGTCGCGTAGAAATTGATTTGTGGCTTGCCACCAAAATTGCAGGAGATCAATCCCTCAGGGGCATTACAGAGCAAGAACACGAAAGTCAAGAAAAGCTCGCCGACGATGCTACGGCAAAGAACACTGATGAAGGGGAGGACCATCTTTCCATCTCCGAAGGTCTGGGTGACTCGGGAAGGATTGAGAAGCCGAGAGAAGAAGCTGCCAACAAGCTGAGGACATTCTCGGGGAGGGCGGTCACTTGCCAGGGCAGGAGCGTGAGGATCAACATTCCAGTCACCACGCCATCGAGGACCGTGTTTGCCATCCGTGAACTTCTGTTCGATGACATGCTAAGCCAGTCAAGGAAGACTGGGGGGAATGGTGGTGATGGCAGTGAGAAGTTGAGCATCAACAAGAAAAAAGTGCACCAGGCAGAGAAGATGATCAGAGGAGCCCTGGTTGAGCTATACAAGGGCTTGGGGTACCTCAAGACGTATCGGTAGGTGTAGCTGATGACATGGTATGTTGTTCTGCTTTGTGCACCGAGTGGGTACTGACGGGGAAAGCACTCTTGTTGCAGGAGCTTGAACATGCTGGCTTTTGTGAAGATTTTGAAGAAATTTGACAAGGTTCCTGCCAATGCCTCTCTCCTTATTGCATTGCCTGAAAGTTATCACATATAAGCAACGCTGAAAGAACAAAACATTTTTTCGTGTTGCAGGTTACAGCAAAGGAAGTGCAGACAATTTACCTGAAAGTAGTGGAGAGCTCCTACTTTAATAGCTCTGACAAGGTATTTTTCAACAATACAGTGGCCTTGAGAAGATCTGAAGTATGTAATTCTAATAGAACTCCAAAGGTTCCGAGTTCTGACTGAAAACTTCCTCTTAATAGGCAATCAGGCTAATGGACGATGTCGAGGAGCTGTTTGTGAGACATTTCGCAAGTGGTGACAAAAGGAAAGCAATGAAGTATCTGAAGCCAAATCAGAAAGAAGAATCACATGCTACCACATTTTTCATAGGTAATAGTTGTTTATAAGCTTTGCATTCTGTTCCAATTCCATCATCAAGATCATTTCAGATTCCTTATGCACTACTGTCAAATTTTCAGGACTATTCACTGGTGCCTTTGTAGCATTATTTATCGGCTACTGTATCATGGCGCACATAGCTGGGATGTACACTCAGCAGTCAAACAAGGTCTACATGTCAACATCCTACCCTGTCCTTAGGTAAGCACCCAACATGTCAGTTCAATTGCTACTATACTCTTAAGAAACAAAAGGTGCTAAAACTCAATGATCCAGTACTGATATTAAACGATCCCGATCTGCAGCATGTTCAGCCTCTTCTTCCTGCATCTCTTCCTCTATGGATGCAACATCTTCATGTGGAGAAAGACACGCATAAACTACGCATTCATATTCGAATTTGCACCTACGAAAGAGCTCAAGTATCGTGATGTGTTCTTGATATGCACTACCTCTATGACGATTGTTGTTGGTGTCATGTTTGCACACCTGATACTCATTGTCAAAGGGTATTCTTCAAGTACAGTCCAAGCAATCCCAGGGTGCCTTCTTCTGGTATGCTATATTTAACGTTACATATGTAATGTTTATTGTCAATGTTGCTATAACCATAAGAGGCTGATGCTTCTACTTATTCAGGTGTTCTTATTAGTATTGGTCTGCCCTTTCAAAATCCTTTACCGATCAAGTCGTTATCACTTCCTAATAGCGATCAGAAACATCATTCTAACCCCCTTTTACAAGGTACTTTGCTATAGCTTAAGAGCATTTTTTTTAAATGAGTGGACGGAATCCTATCAAACTCCATACAAGAAAAAGCTAAATTCATGTTTATATGCAGGTTGTCATGGTTGATTTCTTCATGGCTGATCAGCTTTGTAGCCAGGTAATCGAATAATAGAAGCTAAATGTTTGTCAAGTTCAGCTATGCTAGCTTAAACCAAAATGCTCAGTAGGGTCCATTTTCAACATGAACTGATCAGCATCAATAATTTCTTTTGTCAACATGAATGTTTATTTGAGTTAATATTTACTACTCCCTCCGTTCACTATTATAAGATGTTTTTGGATATTTCAATATGGACTACATACGGACTGAAATGAGTGAACAAACACACTAAAATGCGTCTATATACATCCAATTCAGAAGAAAGTTAGAACATCTTATAATAGTGAATGCAGGGAGTACAAATTACTACAGTGTAGCGCGTAAAGAAGCAATGATGGTGTTTAATTTGGAATGACTAATAAAGTAATGATTTGCTGGAAAATAGGTACCGCTGCTTAGGACCCTGGAATACCTGGCATGTTATTACATAACCAGCAGCTATAAGACACAAGACTATGGATACTGCACAAGAGTGAAACATTTTAGAGATTTGGCTTATGCAGTATCCTTCCTGCCCTACTACTGGAGAGCCATGCAGGTATACAAGATTGAGCATCACTTACCACATCATAATGTCTGTTCTTCAGACTTCTTATAGGTACTAATGCTCTTTCTTATCATTACGGTTGTCCTGACAGTGTGCAAGGAGGTGGTTTGACGAAGGGGACATAAACCACATTGTCAACCTTGGGAAGTACGTGTCAGCAATGCTTGCTGCAGGAACAAAAGTGGCATATGAGAATGATAACAGTGCTGGATGGCTGTCACTTGTCGTCATCGTGTCAAGTGTCGCCACTATCTACCAACTGTACTGGGACTTTGTCAAGGACTGGGGTCTTCTACAGTTTAACTCCAAAAACCCTTGGCTTCGTAACGATCTGATACTTAAACAAAAATACGTTTATTTCATATCCATGGTATGTTCTCTAAAATAATTAAGGTTTGCATCGAAAAATTGCGAGCGAAGATTGCATATACTTACAGAGAGCCTGACATTTTACAGGGTTTGAACCTTCTTTTGAGGCTTGCTTGGCTTCAAACTGTCATCCACCCTAACATTGGAAGCCTGGATTCTAGAGTAACTCTGTTCTTTTTGGCAGCTCTTGAGGTGATTCGACGGGGCCTTTGGAACTTCTACAGGTAAAGTTTTTGCCAGTGAATCCTAAGTCTTAAATTTTTCATTGTGAGGGATATACAAGCCTGAATTTACACTAAAAGAACATTACGAAAAACTTCTATGTCAGGCTGGAGAACGAACACCTAAACAATGCAGGGAAGTTCAGAGCTGTGAAGGTTGTTCCACTTCCTTTTCATGAAGTCGAAGAGGACTAACAGCATGGGGCGTCATTGCAGCACGCTCTAGGATTGCAAAACTCCCAAACAGTTCAGATGTAACACCAACTAATGTTAGAAAGCATGCACTACACTACTATAATTCAATTCATTTTTTGGTGTGACAAATAAAGCGCATTCAAATGTACCGTTTGGAGAGGAGAAGTGATATGCAAATAATAACACTATATACATAGAGCACATAAGTTCCAACTAGTTTTCCATGTAAGAATTGGTACTGGTATAATGTAAACTGAAGTCAGATAACTTCATGAGATCCAAGTACTCGAAAAATAGTTGCTCTACAGTTCTTCTGTTGACTGTTCCACCCATCTTGTATTTTGGCTACCTGGGAAATATGATTATATCTAGTTAGTGGTAGCCCAGTCATGGATAAATTACCTCAAAAGAGATCAATCAAGGATCAATATGACTAGCAGAATTCGCAGTTGACTAATAAGTTACTTACATTACAAGCTCAACTAGGGATGCAAAGTGGCATCGTGCTAAGGCCCACTAAACTAAGCTGCCAGTATAAAATGTACTGATTACAGCAAATAGGGGCCAGCCTTATTCTTTTTTTATCAACTTAAGGAAGCGGGCTGACGTGGGACGCCACTTTGCATCCCTAAGCTCAACAAGATCGCACGCATCATCACATACTGACATATATTCAGTAGTGAAGCTCCAGTGTTTTGAATTGTGAATACTGAATAGTAAGCACATACGAGATCCTGGTATACAGATTGTTGATGTTGCAGTTAACCTGACATTAGCATTGTGTCTTCTTTGCTGCATATATGTTCAAAAATAGCATATTACAACTTAATTTACAAATCAGAGAGCATATGTAAGAAGAGCTGGGCAATGTTCATACTGACCTTCCATTAGAGGTTGAATGCAAAAAAGGGTATTGATGCCTGGCATTGCATTTGCTTCCAATAATGGGTTTACACCTCTAAATTTCCAATAACATCAAAACTCACCTGACAATATACAAGAATTGTACATAGTGGTAAGAACTCTGTTTGCAGTTTACAACATTGTTAGTAACAGAGTATCTCACCTTAAGATATTGCAACCAAGTCCTAGGCATATAAAGGATAATAATCTTGTCCTTCGTACCAAGTCATCTTTCTAGTGGAGATATGACATTGGGCTCAATTCCCAGACATGACAACCGCGACAAGCAGTCAGTCAATCTCACACGGTTGAGTCCATTATGCCTCAATACAACTATCAAGTGTAACTCCACCTGATGTGTAGAAAACGACACATCAACGCATCACCAATCTTACGTTATTCCAACTTGTAATACATCGCATGTATTATCTGAAAATTCTTCTCCAGCAACCCAACTACTTCCCACATCTTTTCTTACTCGCTGGACATCAAACACAGTACGATTCCAAGCCTTCTCTTCCCACATGTCAATTGAAGCATGAATGCTGGATAATGTAATGTATGGTGAAGGATCATCTGGTCTTATTTCAAGAATCTTCTTTGCTGCCAGCCTTCCCAATTCCACATTACCATGAGTCCTACATGAAGCTAGCAAAGCTTCCCACACGAGTTGGTCCGGATGACAAGGCATAGCATCAATAAACTCGAGTGCATCAGAAAATCTTCCAGCGCGGGCAAAAAGATCAACCATGCATGTGTAGTGCTCCATCTTAGGCTTCACACTGTACTTGGTGTTCATCAGTTTGAAATACTCACAACCCTCAGCAACTAGGCCCATTCGGCTGCAAGATGATAACAACCCGACAAAAGTGTAATCATCTGGACAAACTGCTTCTTCTTGCATCAGATCAAATAGCTGAATGGCTGCCACCTCATTTCCATGCTGTGAAAAACTTGTGATTAGTGCATTCCACGAGATAATGCCTCTACTTCTCATTGAATTGAAAATCTTCAGTGCAATATGAACACTTCCGCACTTGGCGTACATAGTCAAAAGGGCATTCTCAACTGAATTGGCATCATCAATTCCTAACTTCACCGCCCTCGAGTGAATTTGCCACCCAACAGCATAATTTGTGGTGCTAGAACAGGCCCTTAGCACACTGGTAATGCAAAAGACGGGAGATCCTAAGCCTTTCCGAAGCATTTCCCTGAAGAGCAAGAGTGTCTCCAGAGCAAGATCATTTTGTGTGTAGCAAGTTAATAATGCCGTCCATGATATAATGTCTTTGTTTTCCAAACGATCAAATATAATCTCTGCACTCATGACATCCCCACATCTTCCATAAACAGTGATGGTTGCATTGAGCAGTAATGTATCCAGCTTAAAGAAAGTCTTCAGAGCATAGCAGTGGACCTCCTTGGCCATTCTCAGCTGTCCCAATGATGAACAAACCTGCAGTAGGCTAGTTACAGCTGACTGATCAATCGCCATATTTTCCATGACCATCTCACGAAAGTTCCAAACTGCCTCCATGTTGCATCCATTCCGTGCAAAAGCTACAAGAAGTGAAGTCCTGGAGAAGGCATCATGCCTTATCCGGCAAGACAACCTAGCCATCTCATTCACTCCACCACATCTACCATACATCGCTATAAGGGCGGTTCCTAAAGCAGGATCAACATCAGTTCCCATCTTCAATAAGCAGCCGTGGATTTGCTTCCCACCAGGGAGCAACTCGGGTGCATCAAATACCTTGAGGATGCAAGAAAACGTTGCGTTTGTTGGCCAAACCTTCAAGAGCAGCATCCTCTTTAGCAAGGCAATTGCTGCATCACGGTGCTCTGAACATCCCTGGTTGACAAGGCAGCTGATTATGCTCGTCCAGCTGGCGACGCACCTCTGCGGCGAGAGCGCAAACGCCCGCCACGACGAGTCCACGCGCCCGCACTTGGAGTACATATCCACCAGCGCCCCCGCAACGCTCTCGTCCTCGGCCACACCAAACTTGAGAGCGGAGGCATGCGCTTGCGAGCCCGCGACGGTGTCTTTGGCACGGGCGCACCCGGCGACCAGAGCGCCCAGCACGAACGAGTTGGGGCGGTCGCAGCTTCCGCGCTCCCCGCTACGAAGCATGTCGGAGAAGAGAAGAAAGGCCTCCCGGAGGTCGCCGAGGCGAGAGGCGCCGGAGACGAGGACTGACCAGGAGACGACGTTGCGCTGGGGCATTTCGTCGAACAGGCGGCGTGCTTCCGCGTGGAGGCTGCCGCTGATGTAGGAGAGGAGGAGGTTGTTGCAGAGGTAGATGGAGGCGAGGCAGCCGAGCTTCGCGGCGGCGCCGTGGACTGCGCGCGGGTGACGGCCGCCGCCGCCGCCGCGGAGGAGGGCGGCCAGGTGGTCGTGCATTTGTGCCTGGCATTCGGCCGCCGCCGCTCACCTCAGCCTGTGTCGCGCTCCATCTACACTCGGCGGGGTTTAGAGAAAAGAGGTGGTCTTCGGTACAACACCTCCCAAGACGTATAAAGGGTAGGGGCAGTCATTTTCACACGCCGTATAATAATACCCGCCCGCCGTAGGCGCGCCTGCGTCGCCGTACGGCACTGTCGCGTACGCCCGCCCGTACGCGCCCACATCCGCATGCACGCCCGAGTGATTAAAAAAAACGATCGGCGAACCCTATTTTCAAAACGCCTCACTCGCCTCCGCTCGCGCCGTCGCCGCCGCCGCCATCTCCGGCAGTACCTGGCCGACGAAAAAAACGTACGCGTTGTGCGCTACGCCGACAACCGCCTCAGTCGGGCAGACGCCTCCATCGCCGGCAGCTCGTATCCGGCGACAACCGCCTCATGTCTGACGAAGGCAACGAGGTACGCGAGGCGCTGGCATAGTAATTTAAGAACGGATTTTAATTGAGAAGATGTTACGTGATGTTTGAATGTATATTTCATTATATATGAACATGTATAGATTGAGGCTGAAATAGGATATGACGGTAATGATAGCGGTAGCGACGACGGATCATTGTCATTGGATGAAGACGAACATGACGGCGAAAATTATATGAGTTTGGATGAGTCTTACAGTGGCAATGTAAGTGGTCTGCATGTTTTCAACCATATTAAATATAAGCATCCGCGATGATAATAACATGTTTGACTGTGCACAGATAGGAGGGGATGATGACAATGAGGATATGGATGTAGATGATTCATATGCTGAAAGCGGAAGCCATGTAGGTTTAGATTTATGTAGGTTAGTTTAAAGTGAAATTAAATACGCATCAAGTCTTACATATCATATTTACAATTTGCGCAGATGAAAGTGGAAGGGTACTATTAGTGGAATTTTTTCGATGATGCCAATGACGAAAACGATATCGATGCATCTTATAATGACAGCTCGAGCAAAGTAAGTAGTGGAAAGTGAATACATATGATAGTCCTTATACAACTATTTACTGACATATACGGTTGTTTGTATTTTTTTCAGGAAGAGGATGGTGACGCGTGCGAAAACGATGATGATGCCGATGGTGATGAGTGCAATTTTGATACTGGGTACGATGAATACCAGCAAGAATCACTGGACAGGCATTGGACGGTGATGTCCACGACGTTCAGGACAGACGAGGAGGCATATGATTTCTATAACGACTATGCGAAAAAGCGTAGCTTCAGCATTAGGAAGGACAACTTGAAATATAGTAAGGGTATCGACGCACGTAGGCGGTTGAGGAGGTTTCTCTGTTCAAGGTCTGGGAAACGACAGGCCAAGTTTTGTACCATGGAAGGGAAGAAGCGCAGGCTGAGAGCGGAGACTCGGTGCTATTGCGAGGCCCATCTAACTATGAAGGTTGACAGAGAGCGCTCCATTTGGTATGTCAGCAGTTTCAGCGATGATCATAGTCACACTCTTGCTAGACCAGATGAAGTTATATATCTTCGATCTCATAATCAGATAAAGGAATACCAGAAGCTCGAGATCTTAGCAATGGCAAATGCTGGGCTCAAACAACATTGGATTTATGACAGCTTCGTTAGTAGGTATGGATCATATGCACTGGCTGGTTTCGGGAGGAGGAAGCTTTATAACATGTGTTATAGGGAGAAAATGAAGTTGCTAGCAAAGGGTGATGCGGACACTGCGATTGGTATCATGATGACGAGAAAGACAAGGGATCCAGACTTTTTCTTTGAGCACACTGTTGACGCAGAAGGAAAGCTGAAGAACATGTTCTGGTGTGATTCTCAGTCACATCGGGATTACCTTGACTTTGGTGATGTAATCGTCTTCGACAGCACTTACAAGATGAATAGGTACGGAATGCCATTCATACCTTTTGTTGGTCTAAACAATCATCGTTGCACCACTGTGTTTGGTTATGCAGTTGTGTCAGATGAGACGGAGGATACATACGTTTAGGTGTTGCATACCTTCTTAAGAGCTCATTGTCAGAAGAAGCCGAGGTCTGTAATTACTGACGGAGACGCAACCATGATAAGGGCCGTCAGGAAGGTCCTTACTAACGTGTGGCATCGACTTTGTTCGTGGCATATTGAGAAAAACATGCAGAAACACCTCCACCACAAGTCCCTTAAGGAGTTCAGGTCTCTTATTTATTATGCCACTACACATGATGAGTTTGAGGCGAGATGGGTAGCTTTTAGAGCTAAATGGGAGTGGGAGAAAACTGAAACATGGTTGTGTAGGATGTACCGGAAGAAAAGGCTTTGGGCTGCGTCATATCTCACCGGTGGGTTCTTCCTTGGTATGTGAAGTAACCAGAGGAGCGAGAGTCTGAACTCTTGCCTTCATATGCATCTTGACTCTGGCATGACAATTGTTGATATGGTTGTGCATTATGAGAACTGCATTGTTCGCCTCCGTGAGAACGAGTCACGCGATGACTGCATGTCCACACAGACACTCCCTGTACCAGTACTCGACGAGTTCAAATGCATTGAAAAAGCCGCTGCCCGTGACTTCACTGCGGTGAACTTTTACCTCTTGCAGAAAGAAATGAAGAAGGCAGCGGATCTTGAGATCATAGATAGACTGAGTGGAGCTGTCAGTAGGAGATTTATAGTGGCATGGAAAAATAACAGGCAACTGAGATTCAAAGTGGACTATACACCTAGTAATTCAGAAGAAACAATGAAGTGCAGTTGTGATAGTATGAAACGTAAAGGTCTTCCATGCAAGCATGTTCTTTATGTTTTAGACAGGTTGAACATGCAGGACTTACCTAGGTGCTTAGTGCTGCGAAGATTCAGCAAGAATGCTAGAGGTGGACTGCTCGTGAAACGCAATAGCAATCTCTTCGCATGGGGATGGGCAGGTACTGAGGAGAGAACTAAGTACAGTGCGTTGACTATTTTGTCTGCGAAAGCAAATCATGCGGCATGTCATAAACCATTTCTATTTGATAAACTGAAGGCTGCTCTGGAGGATGTGATAGCAAATAAGGATGTTGAGGAGGAAGATTATGTGAGACAGCATAGAGTTGCACATGATGATGTTTTTGTGCCGAATCAAAATCATGTTTTTGTTGGTGATCCAGAAAAAATCAATACGAAAGGAGCACCGAAAGGGCAGAATAACAAAGGCCGTGGTAAGGAACCTGGCGTGACTACACACGGTAGACCCAAAGGTTTTGATGAGAAACCTCCAGTACGTCTATGCGGTTTATGCAGAGAAAAAAGTCATTTCAAAAACAATTGTCCTCAGAATCCAAAGTATGTGCACATCATTTCATTAACATTCTTTCCTTGTTTAGTTAATACTTTACAAAATTTTGACGTATATTACAATTTTTCTATGCAGGAACATGGCATGATGATCATAGCAAAGAAATGTTTGAATAAAAAGAACAACTTCTGATTACAATTGACGATTTATTTGGTTGTCTTAAAGAATAATACTTACATATTTGTTTCGTTACATCGATACAGGAGACTTGTAATCGGTGTTTACTTATGTCATATTTGTTGGCACTATACTCGTTGTTCTTAATATGATATGCAACATATAAATTTTACGTTATAATATGATATGCGTTATACAAATTTAACATGAATGTAATATATACATTTTTTCATACAAATATATGATTTTGTGTATAAATAATGCATGTTGGGCGATCAGAGGCGGCTGCACAGCCGCCGGTTGCTTTAATTTGAAAAATAACATTAACAGGCGCGGCTGGCCCGCGAGTTGCGCCAGCGGGCGCAAAGAGGTGGTGCGTACAAGGAGGATTCAGGAGCCGACGTAGAGGGCGATCCCGAGGCTGACGCCGCCCTCGGCCGCAGAGGGGCGCACGTACGAGGAGGATCCAGTAGGCGCCGCGGAGGGCGATCCCGAGGCTGACGCCGCCCTCGGACGCTGAGGGGCGCACGCGGGCCGATGTAGAATCAACCTCGGGGCCGGCAACAGCAACCCTGGGGCGACGCGCGGCGCGGGCCCATTGGCCAGATGACGCGGCCCACGTGTGCCATGTAGCGGCGGACGTGCGGCGCGGGCGGCGCTCACCTCTGAGATTGTCATAGTATATCATCGGAGTATTTAAAAACCCCAAATCGTATATTCGCGAAAACACTCATTGAACATACATTAAAAATTAAATAATAAAATAAAAAATGATTAAAATGTATTTTTAATAAATTTGTCAGGGTATATAAACTTGACATGCTAAAAATATTTGAAACTCACATAAAAAAATAAAGCATCCACACACAATCCTCAGTCATGAACAAATAATATTTCGACAATCACGTAGAATTGTCGTATGATATTTTTATTTTTGTTTCCTCTTTGCAAGTCGAATTACTTTGTTCTTAAATTCTGTAAGCTTATTTTCGAGGGACATAATAATTCCAGCTATTATTCTTTCTCTCAAACTATCAATGGATTCCTAAAAAGTAATAAAAATAATATTATTTTCATCACTTATATATGATATAATGTACTAATTTTTCATACTTAAAATGTATCCACCTGAGAAATAGCAGTAATAATTTTTTCTCCGTCCCAGTATTGAAAACAGCGAAGAACAAACAGTCCACATGAGTTCCTGTGTTAAAAAGACATAAGTGCAATTTTGAAAGCACGTTAAGTAAGATAGCACTTAATCAATTAATGTATTTCAAAAACACATGCTACATGTAACTCACCTATCTTCTTGTTGAGGCATGTCATAGGGGACTATAGGCCATGCAACACATTCGGGAACAACATAATAGCACTATCATTTGCATCTTGAATATCTCCTGCAAGTTGCTCTCTCTGACAAAAAAAATGAACACGTTGACTACATACGGTAAACAAATTATATGGTTAATTATACACACATGAATACGAAACTTACAAAATTTTCAACGAATTTCCTGGTAGCTTCAGAGATATTTTCT